ACAGGCACAAAAGAGTGCGTGCTATCTTTATTTTTCCGGAAAAAATTTTTGGCGAGTGTTGTTAGCTTTGAAATATTTGCCGCTGAAAACTAATTTAATCTATTTGGTGTTGTAGTTTTTTGTATCCTGACAATTATTCAACCTTTTAGAACAATTATTCTTATTATCTATATAATTTTATAACGTCTGGCTTGTCATGAATCGACGGTACACCACATTGGAACTGTATCTATACCACTAGAAGAGTTCACATTTTGAAACGGCAAATCTTCCTTCCCATTTATCCAATGACATAACACCTTACGATGTTTAATGAGACTAGTATAATGTTTTTCCTCATATCATGCTGATACTGAATACGATGCTTCAAACAAAGTTCTATATTTTCCTTAAACTTGACGTGTTATATATATTTAGTGTAAAACGCAAAGTTGGGGAAAAAAAGAATAAAATCGAAAGTTGTAATAAAAGATCTTTCCTAAAGATGTGTCAATATTACATTGATGTACACATATGAATGAACACATACGGTGTTATTTTGGAATTAGTTTTCGTGGGTTATATTTTTCCCATATAGCTACACAAATTCGTAAGGGCCCTCTAATTATTTATTCTGTAAATATATATACAATGACAGTTACAAATAGTATAAATATACCACTGAACTATAGTATTCAAAGAAATGAAGCAGTTATTAACGAAAATATTAGAACCAAACCTAAAAACTAAGAAACAGAAAAAAAACAAACATGTAAATATATAGCTAATGGCGCAACCCATCCACAGGTTCCAATGCCTGAATAGCAAAATACAGGTATGAAAAGATATTACAGGTAAGAAGGGAATTTTTGGCGGTAACTAGAAATCATGCAGGTAAAAAGGTGTGCTTGATTTGGATTGTCATTCCTTAAGCGTCAATGTGATATGATAATGAATATGACATATGGAATATGATATGAATACATGTATAGCATAGAAAAACATGAATAACAATAATAAACACAAGACATATTTCATGCGGTGACACTGCCGTTGGTGCAACCATCGTCTACAAAGATAAGGGAACAAGACGATTACAGTGTTTCACTTGGAGGAGGATATCTCCGAAGACAGATAAATTTTCCATATGACTTTTCACTCGTCGATATTGTTCATTAATGTTTCAGTTTTTTAACGCATTTAAAGACCAAAAAGCATGAATTCCACTATTCTACTTTTGAACACTAAGTAAGGTATGGGCTACGTATATGACCAACTTACCATTTTCATTTTAACGCCCAGAGAGACATTTTTTCTCTACAAGTTATTATTTGGAAAAAGATCACTTGTATATATGTACCTATCATTTTTTCAGACGAACGTATCAAGTATTGACCTGTCGAGACAATGTTGACACAAAAATGCTAAACAGTTGCCTTGAAAGGCTGTAGGATTTAACAACAAACCTTTTTAAAGTCATTTTACAGTTTATATACAGTTTTATATACATGGTTTCACTCCTGACTATACATGCTATTTAGATTTTCTTAAAAAAGGCACACAAAAAAGTTTTCATTATTGCAACCAATAAACCAACATCGCTATTACAATGTCGCAAACAAATTTGGTAATAGACGATAGGCAATAAACTGATTATAGTGCATGCTATAGAGAGAAAGTTTATTTAAATACATTCTTTAAATCCGACAATTTTTTCAGTTCAGATTTTAATTTCGATAGTGATTCTTTTTTCGTATGGATAAATCTATTGTTTTTGCCAATTGTGGTTAGCAGTCTGTGTATCACTAGTGTTATAGGAATATTGAGCAAATTTTTAAAGCCGAAAAAAACAGTATTGTTGAGGGATAATCAAACTCCTCTTTACAGTATATATAAATATGCAGTATTTTGCATCTTTAAACATTTTTATTAAAGTAAAGGATATAAATTGTGCATGCGTGTGTGTATGTGTAAACACCATTAATCTTAAATGGGTCTTTGTTAAGAAATTAAGGCTTAATTGCATCATAGTTAAGCCAATAAAATGTTGGCCTTTTTTAGGTTTGACGATATATTTTTTAGGGAAAAATACATCCTTTAAAAACACAATTAAAACAATTAAAACAAAAGAAATATTTATTGTATAGGTTATAATTATATACTGCGTTTGGAGATTCACTAAAAAACTTTTATAAATGCAAAATATTATATCAATTTGAGCTTATTAAATCTAATAACACAGCACTGGTAAACTAAGATTTTATAGTAAAACTTGCTCATCGTTTGACTTAAAAGCTTACCTACGCTTTGATATACCAAAATATGAGAGATCACTTCTCACAAAAATAAGAATAAGTGCACATTCACTTGCTATACACCTAATCGCTATTTATTCCATTCCGGATAAGTTCTAAAATTACACAACTTTTTCATCCAGTTGACGCTATCTGGGACCCTGTTTAAACAATGCACCATGTATGATACTTTTTAATGAGACCTGTTTAAAACATCGTAAATACTTCAAACACAATATTTTTTTGACTATAATTTGAGTTTGGAAAAAGTGGATCATAATCTATCAAAGTTTCCTATTGATCGCTTTCTAAATTTTTCCCTCCCTCAGCTCGTTACTGATGACCTTTGTTTGCGGCCTGTTGACCCAAACAGGAAGTTGTCTAAATGACTGTTTTTTCCGGATTGGACTAAATAGCGATAAGGTGTATTGAAACGGGGTGATACAGTTTACCAAAAACTTTAGCAACTGAAAGATTCTGCAATTTTTTCAGAGATAAAGCTAAATATGGTGTGCACTTCCTTTTATAAGGGGACGACCATTTGATATTCTGGGGGGGGCCAGGAGGATTTTGAAAATAAATAACTCAGCCTTGATAATCACAAAAATAAATGGTTTGTTCTGTGGTAGTTTGAAAATAAATTACCTGACTTTCAATGTATTGAAAATAAATAACTCAGCAAGTCTAATCGAAAGTATGAGATGGCACCAGATTCTTCATAAATTCATCTTTTTTCCAAAAAAAAAATCGGGAAACACTTCCCATATCTTTTAATAATAAAAGTATAAATATTATTTAAATATACTTGAAATGTCAGAAAATTGGTTTCATTTAACTTGAGGTTAATTGTCTCAGGAACACTTGCCTCACTTTTATTAAATCAGGGCCTTAACTACATTGAGACAAATGCCTCATGTAGGAAATTTCAAAACCAAACGCTTGTCTCCATATCAAATTGTGTTCACCGTGAGTGCCTTGCAAGAAGCAAGTTCTGTTCTCCCTCAGACGTAGCCCCTGATTTTTCGGGATCAATGTTTCTTATTTATTTGTCTTTTGTTCATTGATTGCCCTTCTGTATTCTGTTAGTGTTGCTTTCATTTTGTAATTTAGTAATTTTATTATTAACTTGATCATGAGTTTAAAAAACACAGCAGCCACAGACTTAACTATGTGAATTACATTTTTGCTTTTAACATCATGCATATTTGTCTTTTGATGTTGTTCCTAGAAACTTAAGTCTTACACTTAATCTATAACGTGAGACCAAAATATTGTCATAAAATTATTAAAACAGAACTTGCATTTTCAGTTTAAGAAAGGGTCTGGGGAACACCCAGAAGGCATGATTTTGCATCATTTGTTCTATAGCTTCTTGGGCCTTCAGCGGTTCAAAAACCCTTCAAAAAAAATTTTGCCTCGCTCTGCTCGGCAAAACATGTTTGCCAATACTTTTAGCAGAGCCTTAGTTTCAACCAAACTTTAATACTGTGTATGTATGCAATACATGTATATGCATTGGGCGATATAAAAGATTCATTTCTGTAGAGGATAATAATTAATTCTGATTAAATGGTACATAATGACTTGACTATACATGAATTATTTATAATAAACAAATAATTTAAAAATTGTATGTTTTCGAATATTATAAATATAGTTGTGAAAATAAATAATCAGTCCCTTGCTTTAATGAAAATGAAAAATCTTGCTTCAATAGTGCAGAAAATAGATAATCTGTCCTCTTAGTTTACAAAAATAAATAACCGATCCAAAACAAATCCTCCTGGCCCCCCCCAGAATATCAAATGGTCGTCCCCTAATGTCCCCTATATAAAAACCTTCGAGAGAATTTAAGTGTTTTCAAAAATTTGGTTAAAGATGATGTTATCAAATCAGTAATATATTTAATTAATCCAAATAAGTTGGCTAATGCCAAACAAATTTGTAAATATATGAGACAAGCCTTTGAAGTTCATAACAATGCTTAGTGTCAGTTAGTCTACCATAAGTTATGGAAGTACAGAACTATACAAAAAATAGACTTGTAGTTATATATAAACAGCATATCATTAATTTTCTCTTGCTATACCTTATGTTTTATTTACGTTATTTGTCATGTTGTATATATGTCATGTATGTTGTACACTTGGAAGTTGGATTACGCAATGTCATATTTTTTATATGTGCTTTATCCAATAAAATATTTGATTTGATTTGAAACTGAACATATGTAAAACTGACTTGAAATTTCGTAAAATATAGTGCTGTGTTGCAAAAACTGAACGTTTTCTTCCAACCACTGCAAAGTGCTTAGCTAATTGAAAAGCGCGAAACTTCCTTAGGACGTGACGTGAACACCATTATGACGTTATGTAATGTCATATAAATAACGTTTTTTTTTTGAAAAAATAAACATCTTGGCTTTATATCTTAGTTATTCCTCAATTATGCAAGGTAACATGCTGTCATTCAAGATTGCATAACAATATACTGTTTTTGTAATTTTTTACTGAAATGGTTTTCATTCAACACTTTTCCTGCTAGGTGGGGACAGTGAACTAACGGTGGTTACGTAAGCGTTTTAATTTTGTTTCTGGACAGTGTTTTGAAATTACGTTCCGCACTAAGAGGGTTAAAAGCGACAAAAACGTCGTTTTTGCGTGCTAGCGGTAAACGACAAAAATGTCGTTTTGGCGCCGAAAGGGTTAAACGTGAAGACTGTCATACCTGTTTAGCAAATTAATTTTTGTTGTAGATAGCAGTACGTTTCATTCAAATCTCCAACTGATGAGTGTCGTATACGGCGTCTGTCATCAAGTGCAGTGACGTCAGTATGAAATGACGTCAAAACTACATGATAAACAAATCAGAAAGACGTTTTAATCAATGCGGCGTATTTTCGGACTTGAAGAAGTTCTTCTATTCAGAAAACATTGCTGGTAGGTTCAAATAACAAAAAATTGACTAAGACAAATGTGCCGTATTACAATGAGGGTAGGAATGCTCTTTACCGTCAGGCGTCAAACGGTCATTTTCGGCTACCGTTAGCGTCAAATTGGTTAAAATTTTACCGTGATTCGTCAAAATATCCTTATTGTGATTCGTCAGGGGTCTCAAATAATATATCGTTATCGTTATTTTTGGAAAAAATTTAACGTGATTGGTCAAAACCAGTCGATTTTTTTATCGTCTAAATGAAAGTACATTTTATCGTCATGCACCAAAAATTACCGTCGTTAACGTCATTTGGCAAGAATTTTTATCGTTATTCGTCATGAAGGTACCCCCATTACGACCCTCTACAATGACTAAGAGTTAGGGTTTGAGATATAAGTCTGTGAAAAATTGAAATAAAATATGATTATGTCCAGTCCATGTAACTCCTTCTGTAGTCCAAAAAAATTACACCTTTTTTTTTTTGCTGTGCCGCCTTCCTTATTAGACTAAGGCATATAAAAAAAATAGGCGACGTCACAGAAAAATATTTACATTTGGACTACTCCTTTTGGTAAAAGGATTGTTTAGTCAAGTCTATGTACGGTCCTGTATTCTGTAGGTGTCGCTGTTGACACTGGATTGTCTGTCTTGTAAATATTGAAGTCTCGCGTGTACAATTTTCACTCTTGTAAACAACTCACTTGTACTTTAATTATACATATAGGTGGCAACTGTATTAAAATATTAAGAAACAAAAATGGAAAAAATATGATTTAACTTTTGTTTTAAGAAAAACAAATTTTCTTAATCAAATCTGCGCGACTCTCGGATAAAATCACCCAAAAAAACACTATTTTCATATTACCGACTTTTGACTCCGGATTATATAATTTGTCGACTGGTTACCTTGGACATCATGGTACCAGTCTGTGCCAAAAACTTTTCAAAGCACTAGCCCATAGGGCTAGTTGAATAAAAATATTACTAGCCCGAATTGATGTTTACTAGACCTGAATAATTTTGTGTCACCGGTGAGGATCACGAAGTGATCCGAACCTTCTAGGAGGGTTTGGGGGCATGCCCCGAAAATTTTGGAAAATTAGATGTAAAATCCTGCATTCTGATGTAACATTTTTGTATCTGTAAGTGAATATAACTTATCAAAAATTGTTGTTTTTTTCTCCAGGTCAAATGTAAAATTCTCATTTTCTCCATTAAAAAAATAGAAAAGTTCTTTTGCAAAAAAAAACCTCTTTTTTCCATTAATTCGTACCATTTCAAGTAAAAAGACATTTTAAGCACTAGTAAATTATTACTCAACTTAGGGATTGTTATTTTTTGGGGAAAAATTCCCTCATTGATGGATGATCCCAACCAGTTTAAAATTATTCCTAATATTCTTTCATATTTTTGTTAGTCTTAACAAGGATTTGTAAATTGTATACAAATCCTTAGTCTTAAATATCAAAGTTTAGTTAATTCTCTGGCACTTCTTTTTGATCTGGAAGGGGCCTTCATTTCTGTATTCTAAATTTTTTATACGACCGCAAAAAAATTTTGTGGTCGTATATTGGTATGACGTTGGCGTCGTCGTCGTCGTCGTCGTCGTCGTCCGGCGTCGTCGTCGTCCGGCGGCGTCGTCGTCCGAAGACACATTGGTTTTCGCACTCTAACTTTAGTTTAAATGAATGGATCTCTATGAAATTTTACCATAAGGTTCAATACCACAAAAGGAAGGTTGGGATTGATTTTGGGGGTTATGGTACCAACAGTTAAGGAATTAGGGGCCAAAAAGGGGCCAACAATAAGCATTTTTTGTAACTTCCAGACATAACTTGTGTGTTAGTGTATGGATCTCTCTGAAATTGTACCACAAGGTTCCATATCACAAAGGGAATGCTGGGATTGATTTTTGGGGTAATTGCCTCAAAATTTTAGAAATTAGGGGCCAAAAAAGGGGCAAAAAAGAAGCATTTTTATATGGACAAATACTTAAGTACAAAACATAATTTAAAGCAGTGTAAGGGAGATAAATCAAATACATCATTTGTATTACCTCCCTTACACTGCTTTTAAATTATGTATAAAGTACTGGTTAATGAACAATTAAGACAATTTAAAACAGTGTAAGGGAGGTAATCCACATACAACGTTTTGATTACTTCCCTTACACTGCTTTTAAGGTGAGAGGTACGTAAATGAACGCCTCTAGCGGAAAAACGGGATAATGTGCGTTCGTTATGAGAGTTATCTCCCTTACACAAGAAAAATATTTTCAAGATGTCGGAAGGTATTCCGCTTCGTCGGAAAAATGGTCAATTCGGTGGAAAAGTATTGAATGCTTCTCATCAAAATATAACAAAAAGTGTAGTAATTGTAAATGAAATGTCTTGTCCGAGTGAAACATTGCTTCCCTCCCAAGAAAATGAAAGTAATTTGGCATGGCGTGATGGTCGAAGAGTGGTTGTGTTGGGTTTACTAGCTGACCAACTTAAAGCTTGCAAGAACTGCTATGCACCATTGTTTCTACACAACTGTTTAAAAGAACAAAAATACGGTCTCGGAAGTGTTTTGTATATACCTTGTGGTAGCTGTCCCTACACAAACTTAATAAACACTGGTAAACGGCACAGATCAGAGACTTCAAAAAATGGAATGTTGATATGGGACGTGAATACAAAATGTAGTATGGGTAAGAATATTACAAACACTTGTATATACACACAATAACAAATCAAAGCTCACACTATAACGTTGACTTTTTTATTTTTATTTTATTTATTGAAATTCCATAGCAAATAGCCTATAGTCGAAGACTTACACTAACAGTTGCATACAAAAATTCTCAAAACAACTGTCAACACTAAGAGATATTCAACTCTCGACAAAAAAGAGGAAATACACTGTTATATGCTTAATAATGATATTCTTGATTTGATATTCGTGTTAGATAATCATTTTCTCACATAAATACAAACATTTGGATGTGTATACAAACAAAAAACCGTTGTTTACAGTGCTTTCTTTCACGTCCGCAATATGGTCTATAAATAGAAGTGGAAAGTGCTAGTACTGAGTGTGAAAAATAAAGGATTAGAGCAGATAATTTTTAATAAAAATATTGAACAAGAGTTTTAAATTGCTGCGTGACATGAAATTTGCGGAATTACATCAGAAGGGTTAAGCAAGAGAAAAGGAAAAGAAAATTGAACGCGAATCGAAATGGGGATAGGACCTTGTGCACGGACAAACGGGAAGTAAAATGGTCTTTCAAAATGAACGAAAAATTATAAAAAAAAAAGTTTACACGTTGCTCTTTAGTCAATTTGAAATGAACATTGTGAATAATGAGTTTCAAGCATGAAAATACGCGAAGGAAAAATTACAAATCCACTGCTCGAAAATTACCCTTTAGGTGTAATATCACCAATGATTTTCCCCATTAGTCTTTGTTAAATTTGCACTTTTCAAAAAATTGTGCAGAATTTATCTTAGTTTCAAATAAAGAAATACTCGGCATGAGTAAAGTTTTATCCTGTCCAGTACTATAGAAAATATTTCACATAACATTTCATTGCATATAAGAAAATAACCATCACTGGAAGTTAACCAATCAAATTTTCGCCTCTTTTTTTACCTGTGCACAAGCTTTAGTAACCATGTAACCTCAAGTTTCCAAAAATATTCTATAGAAACACCAAATAAAAAAATAATGGTGCTTAGAAACACCCAAGATATATATGTTTAGGACCCGGAATTTTTTTTACTGCAATGAAATGTAGGATTAATTTCCTACAACTGTCAAATTCAAGGGAATGTTTTTTTTTCATTGACGTAAACCCCACACTGATTGAAGAAATAAGTTATACATGTCGAGGGTCTCATATAATCCGTAAAAAAAATAATAATCGGTAAATAATACTTTTTTCAGACAGGATAATTATTCCATAGGCGCTATAGCGCATTAGTTTAGAGGAACACATTATAATCAAAGAAACACCTTTATGAAGCGGTCGTTGTCTTTGTGTGACAATATTTCTATTTTGGTAGTCGACGATTCTGCTGATGGAGATTTGACGTTGCGTAATCTTTTTCGGCAACGTCATGCAATTTCTATCTTTTCCCGTCGGCAACACCCTTTCAACGGCTGATATATAAAAAGGGAGTTCGGTAACCATAGGAAAATTATATATCAATAGAAAGGAAAATTCTATAATAAAAACATTTAATTTTTATAGAAAAATCGTAGGAATGGTTTTAACTGCAGATTAAATTAAGCTTAAAATTTCTCATTTTTGGCGTAAATTTGACGTTATGTCTATGTACTTTATGGTGTTTACCCAACATTTTCAAATAACTGTAACTTTGAAAGTAGATCGGTTACCCACTTAAATTTTTCGATTTTTCTTTGTATTTTAAAAAGTTCTACGTGTATACAATTTCTTTAAAAAATCGCTGGACAAGCCATTTACGTACCTGTTACCTTAAATTATGTTTAAAGAAATGCATATTTATAAAGGACGAACAGTAAAAATATCTGCAAATGTTGCATCTTTTTTTTTTACAAAAAAATCCATATGAAAGATTTGACACCATATTTTAAATTCTATTATAAAAAAGATTAAGTTAGCACTATGGTAAATTTAAGTGGGTAATTATGGTTGCAAATTCCATTGGAAATTTGAATTGAGATTATGACCATATCCTGAGGGAAAAAAACTTTTTTTTTGGGAAAAGGTGGGGGGTAAAAAGAAATTGTGGGGGGTCAATTTTTTCTCATTTCAGATTTCAGAAATTAAAAAGAATTATTCTTCAAATATTATTTTTTGTTCAAATTTCAAACATTGAAAAATTTCAAGAAGTAATCTTTAATTGCACAGTATGGCGCATTAGATTTGTAAAATCTTTGACCACATATATTTATTTGTTATGCCAAATCTGACCGTGTATTTAGATTTGTAATTTTGGGTCCAGTTTTCAAATTGGTCTACATTAAGGTCCA